GTTCATTTGTAAGAATTTTAACTTAAAAAGTATTCAAAATAGATGAATAAAAGCTGTAGTCAAAATTAGAATTTTTTTGATTGTAGTTGATATAGAGCCATGTAGCTTCTTAGTTAATGTCAGATGCAATAGTAAACTATTGTTGAAAATGGTATTGAGATGTCCAAAGTGATATAATGTAGGCTTGGCATATAGTTTGAATAGAGCATTAAATAGAAATTTCAATAAAAAATTCATCAATAAAAGAGATATAGTTGAGGTTGTAAGAGTTGTTAGTTAAGAATGTTAGGTAGAGTAATATTTGGTGATTATGAGCAAATTAATCAGCAAGGTTGTTGAATGGGTCATCTTGGTATGCAGTGATTTTGTGAAAAATAAGTTGGATTTCATAAAACTTAATAAAGTTAATAAGTGTTTGCCAAATAGAGAAATATAGAGTATGAGTATGAGAAAGAATAGATACTGATTGGCAAATATTATGATATTTGAATATTACTAATTGTAAGTTAGTAAATATGTGAACTGAGCAATGTCTAGAAACAGTAATAATTGCTGAAAAGATATCAAGAATTTCAGCTTTAAAGTAGCATGGCCATAGTTTAACTTGTGTCTGAAATAAGTTAATAGTTGTAGAGTTATCAACTTGAACCCAATCTATATCCATAGAGCACTGTGAGGTACCAAGATCGATAACAGAACCATTAGTGTAGAATGAAATAAATGATAGATTGTGATTTGAGTTAACGATAGTCTGAAGATTATTAACAAGTTGATATGTTTCAAAGATAGGAGGTAATTGTTGTAGATTAATTGTAAGTAAGGGAAGAGATGGAATATGTAAAGGATGTCGAAGGGCAACTGAGTATGCAATATCAAGAAAGTTTGCATGAAGGTTAAGAGTTTTGTCAGAATTAATATGACAAAGTAGCTTAATAGCCAAGACAGAAATTATTATTATATCTTTTGGTTTTTTTCTTTTATTATAATTTTATATTCTATTTATATATTATACTTGTCTGTTTCTTTTTTCTTAATACTTTTTTGTATGTTTTTTATACTGTTTATTAAATTATTTATAATTTTGTGTTTTAACTAAATTTATAAAATAAGATTCACAAAAAGAGTAATTTTGGTTATATATTAGAGTTAATAATATGATTAAGTCTTTGTATAAATATTTTAATAAAACATTTTTTTATTGATTCTATAATTGAAATTAGATAAACTTAATTAAATATAAAGTTCTATGAAGACTTTTTTAGAATAAAAAAAATATTAAATATTTTCTAATCAGTTAAGTTTTTTTGAAATTGAAAATATTTGTTGATAAATAATTTAAGAGAAATTTGACCAATAGAATCTATATATTTAATATATTCATAGTTTGTTTTAAGAAAATTTGTAACTTTTTGAAAAAGAAGATTTTAAATAATGTTATATTATTTATCATCAGAAATATTATTAAATAGGTTTTGATAATAAGTTTAGAATAAGGTTGATATAGTTGGTAATAATCAAATATAAGTTGATTTTGTTAAAGAGATTTTTATTAAAGTATTTAGTAAAGTAAGAGTAAATAGGTTATTTAATATAATTTTATTCAGTTAATAAGGAGTTATTTGTTATAAGTCTATTAATAAGTATACTATTATATTTTTCAAAAATATTTTTAAAGAATTTTTTAGAATATAATTGAAATAATCTTCAATTTTTTGTTGAATCTCTTTTTGGATTTACTGTTGATAAAAAGTATTGAATACTAGTTTAATTTGAAAGTTACTTAGTTACTAATTACTTAGTTGCTTAATTACTTAATTATTTAATTACTTAGTTATTTAACTTATAGATATATAAATTTTTTAAAATTTTTTAAATTATAATAAAAAATAAATAATTAATAAATAATCAATAAGAACTAGATGCTTTTCTTTCCTTTAATCCTGTAAATAATATTTTGAATTCTTTATAATAGATGCTTAAGGATATTTTTCTTATTATTATCTTAATAAATAATTTTAACTATAAACTACTATGTAATAATTATCAAATTGCCTTAGAGATAAGTATAGTTTCTTGATAAAGTATCACAGAAGCTATACTTTTCTTTTGAACATTGCATATACCATAAGAGATTTTCTGTGTTATGTCATTGTTGTAATGTGAAATTAAGAAGGCTTCCACTTTATAACAATATGTTTAAACAAAAACTAAAATCCAAAACTAAAAAAACTAGTTTCAAAATTATTATACAAAATAAAGCACATACTTTAAAAACATATAGTGTGATAATATACAAAATATTGACAGTAAAAAAATTTATTTAATTATAGATAAAAATGTAAACAAAGTACAAGGAATATTTCTTTAATGGAACTATATGCATGTATATGAAGAAATTAGCAATCATGCTTAGTATATATTATTAGTAATATATTACAATTCATCCGAGGTTTAATCATAAACTACACCCTTGAAAAATAAAATTACATCGATCCATTAGTTGATAAATACACCCTCATAAATCAAGGTCAAAATTAAAATTCAAAATCAAATTTGAATATATAGATGGGCATCTTTCTATATTTGCACCTCAATAAAAATTTACGAAACTTAATTTTCTTTGTATTGATAAAACTATACATGAAATGCTATGTAAATGAAATTTTAAATCTTTTTTTTTTTGGACTAATAAAAATTTTGCAAAATGAACCTAATTTTGAGTAAATACATATGTCCGATACATAAAAATGTATGTAAGTACATACGTACAATTAGTTGAGGAGCTTATTTTTAATCCAAATCAAATTATTGTTCACCTACAGAATGACTTAAAGTTATAACAGATGAGAATATTCATCCGATCATCGCAACAATTAAATTCATACTCACAGATGAAGAGTATAAGTGACATGAACACGTCCTTCTCTAGGTCTAGCAATCCGATTAAAAGCAGCAGGTGATAAATCAATATCACCAACTTGACAACCAGCACATCTATCTATAATCCTTACAGTAACACGCCTACCACCGTGATGAACTACAGCAGTAGAACCACAAGCTTTATTTCTAGTTAAATAATCAAATTGTTGTGCTGGTAAAGCAGCTACCATTTGCTCGTTGCTATTAACATCTCCACAAGCACCTAGACCTACAGCATAAAATGTACCATCACCAGAATGCATGCTTCGTCGGAAGATAAAGGAATTAATTAGGTTTGAATCGTTTTCAGAAATTGAGAATGAAGAGAAGGTAATAATAAGTAACAAATGTATGTATAAATGTTTAATAAGTGAGCGCATTTTGGTTTTTTTTTCAAAGTAATGTAATTTCTCTAAGCATATTTTTCAAGATGGAAAAAAAGTGAGTCTTTTAAATGTTTTAACCAATCTACGTTTTATATTGAAATAAATTATGCATCAAAGGAATTGTTTACAGAATGTAAATTTCGCGGAGAACATAAAAGGTTGATTATTCTTGGACATATCCAGACACTCCTTCAGGCGTGTACCATTCATTAGTTGACTTCCTAGTATACTGCGACAACTTTCAGCCTGAAACACATAGCAAAGTAGGGTGATAAAATAATGAATCTCGACAAATTATTTTCTTACAAGATAATATTCAGGGGACTTCTCCTCACATAAACGACAAGGGGAAGCAAGTTTGAATGAATGTAATTTCATGAATTGGTCGAACAATAATGTATTTGTTATTGGTATTAATTGGATTAAAAAGTGTTGGGGGGTTTTTTTTTGAAACATTTATTTTTCGTGGATTCGTCTTTGTCACGTGAGTAGTCGAATTTTCATTTTCGTCATGAAGTCAGATTTGAACAAAATTAACATATACGCTACTCCGAAACGCTAGTAAAACTCTATACTCTGTTTTATTCAAACATAGTTTCTAACCTTTATATATAGTCGCACCGAAGCGGCTTAGTTTATTTGCGCGAGTGAATACGTATAAACCCCAAGGAAGGAAATGACCAATAAATTCTTATAAACTCGTACACTAGCGCCGGATATACAAACTCTTAAAAAAAAGAAACTTAATGTGTATAAAGATATAATTTTAGGTTAAGACATTAAAGTTAGAAGATATAGGAACAAATTGTCGCATAATTAATGTTCCAAGGTCTTATTTCCCTTTTTCTTTCACACATGTTTGGATTCTATGTCGGTAAGTCAATAGAAACGTACCAAATTCTAAGTAAATTTTTTTCGAAGAACTTTGAACAAAAATAATTCAATAACCTAATTAAATTTAATGAAATTTCTTTAAAGACTGTACCCTTGTAGAAATTTCTATTATATGGCTACTCAAAAACTTGCAGTCTCTATCCTGAAATTTTCTTGATTTCATTCTAAGAGAAATTATGCCCGGACGAGGATTCCCTCAACGAGTATAATCTCTAGGTAAATTCTTGTTATTTTTAAAGACTCAAAATATTTTATTTAAAAGATTCATGTACACTAGTCAAGGCTTAAACCTGCTTTAAATTCGGAATTCTATAAATAAACACGGTTAATTAAGAAAAAATCGACAGACTTAGCCAGCTAAGTCGACCTAAGCCGACTAACTTATAGTCGGCTTGTAACACTAGTGTCGACACGTGCACGAACTGCCTTATTAGATTTCTTCAAATGATCAAATATCAATAAGACCGCGTAAAGTGAAAATAACAATGACACTTTTTTAAAAAACCGCGAAACTTTGACTATGAAACCACCTGCGCTCCAATAAAGAAAATTCCTTGCAAAATTTTGGTATAGAAGATTCTTTATCGTAATTTCTATCCTAATCATAACGTAAGTTTTATTACTTTAAAATATTGCGCATATTTGATTATTCGCATATTTAAGACAGGACCTTTTTGTTAATCACTAAATTATGTATTTTTTAATAGAGATAAAGAGTTCTAGATAGGTCCTTTTATTAATAAATTTAAATACTTCTGATAATTAAAATGATTAACAAAAAGGTCCTACCTGGTAGAACTTACTTCATTGTTAAACCACTAGCCGCGCCATATATTACATTTAGCTTTCATATGATTTATATTACGTTCGGTATATATGATGAATTACATGTGTAGATTTAAACCGGAAGCAAAGTGACGGGTAACATCTAGTATACTTTAATATTTTAAATTCTTCACTATATAAAAAGTTCGCTATAACAAGAGTATTTGGACAGACTGATTCTTTCAGTTATTTAACTCTGAGTATATTTTAGGATTCTATATTACAACCTTTTATAGCTTCGCTCTAATTTTCAATAATTCGATGTCCTTTGTATAATTTAATTCAAGTTTTGCAGTTCATTTTTAAATATGTTCGTGATTATTATTTAATAGTCAAGTTTTGAATATGTTTAGCTATTCATTCTGGTCTAATAGTAGTGGTTTTGTCTCTTAGAAACAAGTAATAAAGCTTTTTTTCCAAAAAAAACTTAATATTCAAAAAAGGATTTATAAAAATATGAAAAGACAGTTTGAAAAAAAGAAGTTTTGGAAAAATTCGAAGAATTGCACTGCGCCCTTGATTATATCCTTGCTGAGTAAAGTACTTTTAGTTAACTGAGTAAATTAATATCGAAGTTTCTAAAAAAAATCTCAGTAACATTTGTTAAATAAACTGAGTAAGATAATGTGATATACAGTATGGCCTAATAATTAGCTGAGTAAAATATTGATGTTCTTGAGTAATACTAATCTGGTTCAGGGCCGGCTTACATGTAATTTCAGATATTGATTACCAGAAATTTTTTTATTTAACGAAAATAACCAAATTTCCTTAGTTAACGAATCAATAAATAAAAATAATAAATAAAATAATGTGAATTTAAACAGGTTATCTTAATTCATAGAATCTTTAAAACTACTATTTTTAATACACCAATTACAAGTTACATTAACATAGATAACAAATTTACTAGTTAAAATATCTTTAAATGCGAATAAAATAAGAGTAACCATAGCTATTTTAACAATTAATTTTTTTTATTCATCAGATAAATTAATATGAATAAATACGAATAAATAAGGGGTAAAATACGAAATAATCACAAACTTAAAAAGCTGCGAATAAACCAAAATTAGACAAGCATAGTGTTCAGAATCGAAACTTAGCTATTTCATTAAAATATTTACACGGCTCCAAAAGTTTGTCACGGTTACACAAAAATAACAAATGTATGTATACTCTTGATATAGGAAACCTTCGATATAAGAAGCTCTTGGCATAAGAAAGTTTTTACCAGTTTCAGTTAAAATTTTATGTTTTTATATAGGAAAGTTTGATATAAGAAGGACTTTGGCTGGACCCAGTGACTTTTTTTATATCAAGAGTCATTGATATTTTATATATTATTTTTGTGTAACTGTGATAAACTTTTGGAGCTGACAGGGCATTGTTTAAAGATATACAATTTAAAAATTAATTTATCTGAATGTGTATTATAATTTTTGGTATTAAAAAGTCTTCAGTTAATTAACTATTAGCATTTTAAATTGCATGTCTCTAAATAACGTATTAATTTATTTAAGTGCGATATTGAGACTCTGAATTTTTATTTTACAAATTCCTGACCAAAATGTTCATTTTTTTATATTCATTAATAATAATTTCCTAATATAATATAACTACGATATCCTGTAAGTTATTATCAGTTAAATTAATATATACTTAACTAAAAATGTTCAAAAGCTTGGCTTACTTTTTTTAAAAAATATAAAACACTGAACAACTATATAAAACTCTAGCAATGTTACTACAGTCAGGCATATTACCAAAAATAGAAATCGATTCTAGATCGTTCCATTGAATTTTTTTTATTTTAATTTATAATTTGACAGAATTAAAATAAAAAAAAATTATAAATTTAGGTTAATATATTTATAATGTTATTTGCCATGGTTAGCTATTGTAAAAAGCCACGAAATGTAATCGAATTTAGCAACAAGCTGGACGTTCAAAGTTTTATGATCAACATTGATCCGATCGGGATCAATTCTTTATTTTAAATATGTATAAAGGCTCAAAAAAACTATAAGTTTACTATTCTTTCTATTCAAAATTTACAATTTATTTTGCTGATTACTTTATTACTCAGCTTCTGATTCGTAGCAAAAAGAATCACTTGATCTGAGTATATAATGATTTACATGCTGCATAAATTGTATTCTTGATATCTATATAACCTGTAACCCTAACTGCATCAAAAAAGTAATCCCTGACTGGTACCTGGCTTTAACGTTCCCCTAATTTGTACCACATTCATTGATGATTACCTAATTTATACATGTTTCTCGACTTTTTTTACCGAGTTCATCGTGTTCAATTCGTGTTTTTGTTTTGTAAAATCGCGATCACAAAACAATGGAGATATCAATAAAAAAAGTATATAAGGATTGCTTTTTTCTCTTACCTGCCCTCATCACCTTTATCACTTTTCTCATATTATATATATTATATTTTATATATTTCTTATATTGCTTTTTATTCAAACTTATATATTTTTACATTTTTTATTTGTTTATATTTTTATTTCAAACTTGTTATTAAGTTATTAAGTTGGTTAAAAAAATGTAAGTGCGAGTAATCAATTTTACATTAATATATTAACTTGACGCTTTACGGTAACTGCTTTTCATGATTACTTATATTACTTTTCTTTTTTTACTGGGTCGAATGTTCGTCATTTATTTGATAATGGTTTTGAAAATTTCTATCATCGATTGTTTTGGAGTTATAAAAGGTATAATAATATTATTTTTATTGTTAATTTTATAAATTTATATATGTTAAAAAATATTGTTATAAATAAAGTTATATATTTAAATATTGTTGTAATAAAGTTTTATGTTTAAATATTGTTATAAATAAAGTTTTATGGTTAAATATTATTATAAAGCTTTGCGGTTAATATTATTATAAATAAAGTTTTGCGATTAAATATTATTAAGCCATACAAAATTAAATAATTGTTTTTTACAACATAGAATTTTTAAAATGACCTATTTGTCTGGTTTTTAAATTACAAAAATTTTATAAGTTTTTTTTGTCTAAAAAATATTTAGAACATATAAAAATTTTTATTAAAAACCACTTGGAAGTATTTATAATAAATAACTTATAAAATTTTGTATTGAAAATTAACAAAAGCTGACCCGGCCGGGTTATAAGAAACGATTAATTAATTTTATATGGCCTTATAAATAAAGTTTTATATTAATTATTGTGTTATAAATAAAGTTTTATGTGCCAGTAATTATTGTTATAAATAAAATTTATTAACCATTATTAAGTTATTTATAAGTTGAATAAAAATGAATAATAGTAAGTTTCAAAGTTAACAAATAAGTGACGTATTTTGAAATTAAATAAGAGTTTAAAAATTTATATTTTAAATTTTCCTATTTAATGAAATAAATAGACTTTTCAATAGCAAAAATTATTATTTCAACTTTATCAAGAAACGAAATAAAGTTGATACATGCTTATTTGTAAATAATACACCATTTATTTCTGTCAAAATTAGATTTCCACACGTTAACTTTGATATTTTAGTTTTATTATAATAATTGTTATTTTTATGTTTAGTGTTTCTGCAATAATAATTATTGTATATTCAACAAAAACACAGATTTTGTAATGACCATAATTAATCAAAATCAAGATTATTGATTATTCGAATCTAAATCACGCAAAATAATATATCGGAATTAATTTTAGATTCAGATACGTAACTTATCTTTGGGTGATACTAGAACGGTTATGGTTATGCTAGGGTCATTGAATAAAATATATAGCTAAGTCTGAAACTTTGTTAGAAATTTCAGAAAAAAATCTTTCATGAGGTGTAGTACTTTTTTTTACATAAAAGTTATTAGCACTATGCAGCATGGGCTTAATTGTCACATATTGTAATTTATGTAAAAATTAACATCCGTTGTGATTTTTATAATTATAATAGAAAGGGTGAAACCTGAGTTGATGGTGAAATCTGCTTTGTAGATCGGGTTAGGGTGAAATCCGCGTTTTATTATGTTTTTTATTATATAAGTGACGAAAAGGGAAAACCTGTAAATCATCTCACTCAATGAGATGATTTACAGGTTTTCCCTTTTCGTCACTCATATGAAAGCGGATTTCACCCTCATGTGATGATCATAGCGGATTTCACTATTTCGCAACTCAGGTTTCACCCTGTCGTATTCTAATCATGTACCGCCACTGCACGTTTACGCGTTTGTGTAATATCGATATGATAATCATGAGCTCCGGACTTAAACCGGTTTCCGGTCCTTGCTTAAGCATCTTACATCATATCGAGTAATGCAAACCAAGGGGGAATGTTAAAGCCAGGTACCAGTAAGGTTACTTTTTTGATGCAGTTAGGGTTAGCGGGTTATATAGAAATCAATAATACCATTTATGCAAATAAACCAAATGTGTAAAATAAAAATTTAGGGTAAATGCTATGGAGACAGATTAACATTCGCTGTGTGTAAAATTTCATTCCCGACAGTTTTAATTAATGTACCAAAATCGAAATGTGCACTCTCTGATTGGTTATTTCCTTTTTAAGAGTTGTATTACTCGCTAAAATAAATGCTAAGCAGCGAAAGTGGACCAGTCAAATCGTATGGTAAATACCAGTAAGGTAGTGTTCTAATGCTAGTAAAGTGTGATAACGCCTTACTAGTCTATATTACTGTAGTTATGAGTACTTCATGTTTGAATAACTGGTTTGTCCGGCATTATTGTCCGGAGTGTAGTTTTTTACGAGAGCAAGTGATCACTATGATCACGTGATGGTTTACGTTCGCCCCGCTTCCGTGATTTTGATTGGTTGATTGAGCACGAAATTTTAAATTTTTATGCACGTGAGTTACACATTGTCCAGATATATTTTAAATCCTGTACGGATTTAAAATTCAAATGTCGGATAATAGTTAATTCGATAAATCTGGGGAAATTTAGAACGTAATATCAAAATACAAGCCTATGTTTAGCTAAAAATGACATCATTTAATTTTATTAATATTAAATTTCTGGTTGATGGATGATCATGGGGGTCACACTAACTTGAAAAGCACTGTAATTGATTACTTTATTCTATCGTAAATAAGCATCATCTCCTCCGTCCCATTTTTTAAATGTTATTTTAACAAGAATAACTTGGCTAAAGATCTCAGTGATTTCCGCTAATCTGACATTTAAAAGAAATGAGGTAGAGGGAATGGCTTATTTACAACAGAATACGAACACATGGCATGTTCATTAAGAAATTCGACCAATAAAATTACTTTATATGCAAATAATCATTTGACTTTGATTAACCCTACGGGCTTATTTGTGTGATATTAAATATCATTCTTAATTTGGTTCATAGTAACTTTTGCATTTGATTTTAAATAGATTCCTTATATAATAATTTGTAATTTGTATGTATATACCCAATTAAAGTTATTTTTTTAACCAACGTTGTTTACATACAAGTTTTCATTTGCCAACCTGATATCTATGATACAATAAAAGACCAGATAAGCACTATTTGTGAAAAAGATAGCATGCATTATTTTGACAACTTGCATAAAAAAAAAAGATTTACGAACTTATGCATGATAGCTGTATCGCATTATATTAATGCAGATTGCTCTCTTCAAATATCGTGAATTTTTATTCGAAAAAAAATAAAATGGCGCTATGATCAAATTATTACATCGTAGATAAATTCTTCCCTTAATGAATGTTTACGATTTAATTAACATTAATAATCATAACGACATAAGAAAAAATTTCGGGTACAGCAAATTTTTTCGTCAATCTTTTACTAAAGAAATCGGGGGATTTTGTACGAGTTCCATACACTTTTGCCTTTTTTAGTTGATTCAATTAGATATCTTCGCGAGGCTTATCAATTGTTCCTGACTTCTTATTGCTCTATTAGGAAAAAATGAAATAGGGCGTGACTAAAAGGCATATATATATTTTTATTGTATATTATTAATAAATAAAATATCAATACATATTTCAGGATATTTATAAATTTTGTTTGTTGCTCGAAAAGAAAGTTAAACAAAAATAACAATAAATTTAAAAAATGATCTTAAAATTTAATATGGACATTTACAATTCTATCTTTACCATTTGGAATTTGATCCTCTTCCTCTTCATTTTTTTTAAAGGATGTCAGGCATCACGAGAGTTTCATTTACAAAATATGGTTTATCAAAACATAATTTACAATAATGAAGGATTACTTGGAAGGTTTCTTCACATAACTGGTTGTCCATCTTTGCCTTAGTATTTCTTTTATATGATCCGATGGTTCACTATCTTACCTTCAAATTCCTTACTTTTTAATTATATGAATAGATATTCATCTTGACCCATATTACCTTGAATCAAGCGATCCAACTTCTTTTTGCCATCGTTATTCCCGGAACCAAGTGTTAAACATTGCTGGAAAATTCGGTATTCTATCGGCTCCATGTGATTCACCTTACCATTTGACGAATTCTACTTTTGAGTTTATACGTTCGAACTTCAGCGACGTAGACTTTATCGTATATACTGGTGATAGTGTTAGGCATGATAAAGATTCTAAAGTTTTTAAACGAACCGAAGATCAAGTTTTAGATATTCATAAAAGAGTAGTGGAAAATATTCAAAATTACCTCAATCTATCAAAAATTAAATTTGTAAGTTTTTTTTTTTTTTTTTTTAAAAAAAAAAAAAGAAATGCTTTACCTTATATCCTAACTATTTCCTTTTTTTAAGATACCAACACTTGGAAATAATGATGAATTTGGTACGGTTTCCGTTTCATACATCTTCGTCTTGCTGCGGTTCATTGTTAAAATCTTCTTCGTGTATAGAGCATAATCGATTACCCGAAGGACCGAACGACTTGTTGAGCAATTTAACTAAAATATGGGCTCCTTTAAATCTGAACTTAACTTCTGACTTTCTAAAAGGAGGATACTACCGTCAAGATATTCATTCAAAACTCTCCGTACTTAGTCTTAATTCCATGTATTTTTACAAAAAGAACAAACTAGTATCTGACTGTAATATAACAGATAGTCCCGGTGCATCACAATTGGAATGGCTTGAACGTGAATTAAAGAATGCACGCGGTGAAAGACGAAAGATTTATATTTCACAACATGTTCCTCCACTGGATGAGTCTAGTATGTGATCATAAAATGTCAAGAATTTTAAATTCGATGTATATTGTTAACATTCTCATTTATTTTGTGAAATATAGATGAGGAATCTTATTTCCCAGCGTGCTTTTATGCATATATACAGCTACTTGGAAAATATTCGGATGTCATTTGTGGTCACTTCACAGGTATTGATTTCTTTATTAAAACTTTCATTCATATGTATTTTTATTCATAATCTATCATGTATATATCTTAGGACACACGGATCAAGATATGTTATCGTTTGTTACTAGCACCAGTAAAAGTGAGAATGCATATTCAATATTTCTCCTAGATGAACCACCCATTTCAAATACAATTTCTGCTGAAGATATTGTATTGGTTTTAACAAATGCTCCATCAATAAAACCAAGTAAGTTCAAAATACGAATAGCCATTAATGATTTACAATCCCGACACATTAAAAGAATTACAGATATTACATGTATCTTAATTCGGAATTATCGAATTAGGCCAATATACCAGTAAACTAAGGATGTTAATCGTCTTGTTTGACTTTTTTCACTAATCTGATTATAATAAGAAGGTTGAGTCGTCGATTAACATCTCTAAAGCCATATATACCTAGGATTTACTAATTTTGCTTCTACTTTCCTGCATTTCCTATTGGACGCATTATGACGATGCAGTGAAAAGTGGCAGCAAAACTATGAAATGCCTATGTCTATATTCAATGATGAGCTATGACTTTGTTAGTAAAACTTATCTGGCACAGGAACTTTGTGAATTTTCTATATAAGTTTAGTTGTATTATAGTAAACAATATTATCCTGAAAATTCAATTCAATATCTGGTTAAGTTTGTCAGGATATTTTAATTTTAGAATTTTTCAAACCATTTAGCTTTTTATATAGTTTGGATTGTGAACCAATTTTAATCAATCTTGTTTTTTTGATTTTTTTATAGCTCATAATCCAGCAGTACGACTATATGAATATTCAACCTCAGTTTGGGATTTTGGTGCTTTAAAAGATTATACACAATATTTTGTAAATCTAACGGAAGCAAATAAGATTCGTGTGGCTAGATGGGAAATTGAATATATAGCTAGTGAAACTTATGGAATGAATTCTTTGAAAACAAAAGATTGGACCAGAGTTTTAAACAAATTTAAAATACCTGATAGTGATGTTTGGAGGTCATATGTTAAACATATAACAGTTAGTGGTCCTTAAAAAGATAGTATTTCTGCTTTTTTTTGATAAATTATAACTAAATTAATATGTATATGTGTTTATTATTTATTTAATTATTCATTCATTCATTTAAAAAACTAAAATTATTTAAATATAATAGGACAATAAATAAGTGCATCAACATTTTTATGTTTTTTTTAAAAAAAAAATTCATTATTAGAAGTTCAAATTATACTTGTTTCTAGAGACGAAAGAATAATAGATAAATCTCTAGTTATCTGAAGTCATTCTAACTTTCAAATAACCAGAGATTTACCAAGGGATTCCAGCATGAAAGTGTTATTCTTCGTCTATTTGCTATCATAATGGTGGGTTAACCATTGTTTTAATTAACGTTTCTGGTCATAGGAAGACTTTCATATTATTGGCTATTTAAATCTATTGAATTTTACAATATTTATATAGTTTTTTTAAAAAATAAAACTACTATACAATGAACAAGTTCTGCACCCGCCCATACTCTAGAAATTTTTTTTAGAGATTGTAACCGTTAAAAAAAACCTTTACCTTATTATTACTACTTTTTTTCTTTTAATTACACTAACCCTTACAATTTCTACTATATTCTACAATAGAAATAATATTTCGTTAAATATTTTACAAAATATTTTATTAAACAAATTTGCAAAGCACATATTTTAGCTATATAGATATTACAAAAGTGTAATAAATAATAATATTTTAGTTAATATATTGATTAGGATAAAAGGTACGTAGATTATTTGTTATATAATTTTAGTAGTACAATAGCGATAGGATTTATATCAAAAATGAACATATGTTACTAATTTTATGTTAATATTTAGTACGTATAGATAAACATATACGTATAATTATTATACAATTATAATATATATATATATAGACTATTTTGAATTAATTTAAATAAATTTATAAATAGAGTTTGAATTAAAATTAGAATATAAATTTGTACAAATTAGAAGAGTTTTATATATTATAATCTTGTAATAATCTATATGCTCACCTATATTAAAGAAGATTCAAAATTTTAATAAATGTTTTTTATAGATTGCAAAGTTTTTTTTAGTTAGTTCAAATTTGGTTTAATTATATAAATAATTAATTTAATTTGTTAATATTATATATATAATTATTATAAAACCAATTTTATACCTTTTTTTGTAAATTATTTATTTTATTAAATAAATCTTATTTGTACTTTTAAGTAAAATTGTTTAACTTGTTTTTCTCTTTTTAGATAGTTAAATTTTGTTTTTAATGTTAAGATGTACTTGTGATTCAGGATTTTATTAATAGTATGTTTTAGCTAATAGCTGTTTATACAACAACTACAGAAGCAATTATAGAAAAAGTATACAACTAGTTACTTATACAACATTAATTATTGTCTAATTTAAGTGGTTTATCTGAAGATTTTATACTAGTTGCCATATCTAGAACCTGTTTGTAAATCTTCTATTTAAATGCTTTAATTTCTGTATTTATCATCTACTTATTCTATCAACTGCTTTGATCAATACTGATACAAATATGTTATAATTATAAAGTCTTTAAAGCAGTTTATTTGTGTAAAAAATCTTTAACTTTATACTAAACTTACTAGAGTCTTTTGTATTTTATATTTACAATTGGTCTAGTACTATTTTGGTCTAAACTAGAATTGGTAGTTAAGGTTAACTATTAAACTGCTATATTCTTATAAAGTTTATTTAAACTTTAGTAATTATTTTTTAATATCTTTTATATCATTCTTTACTAATCATTAATTAGAACTAATAGAACTTTTTAGATTAGCAATCTAAATAGTTTTGTATAGTATATTTATATATTATTTTTTTTAGTAATTCTGTTAATCTAATTGGTACATATGCTTTTCTTATATATCTATTATTTAGTTTATTTATTCTTTTGAAGATGTTTTATAAATTTTTATTAGTTCAACAATATTATTAAAACTTTGTATTATTTCTTTACTCAAAAATTCTAAATAAGTTTCTGTCTTCTTAGTTTATTAGTCTTTTATATTTAGTAGTCTTATTATTATTATTTTTTTTGATATTAAAGTAAGGCCTTGCTCATATTTTTATTAGTAATTTTAGTTGTACATATTAATATACTATATATTAAAGATATACTAAGATTGTAAAATACAAAATAAAAACTACATGCAAGAATTAAAGCTCAGACAACATTATCTGTGACCTAAACTGTAATGGTCTTATTATAAATATATACTAAAGTTATATATAATACTAGTTTTAATATTCCTCTATGTATATATAATATTATATTTTGTATAGATGCTTTGAGCTTCCAATGTCATATAGAATCCAACTTGGTATATCTAAAATACAAATATATAAATTAAACTGATTAATGAGAAATGTTACTATAATATAAGTATAATTTCTAAAATTAGTTATCTGTAAAATTTAAATACTAGATTTGTCAATTGAAAGTTGACAACTTGTTTATTTTACTAGTTTATTACATTTTTTTTAGATAATAAATTTTTAAGTTTCAATAATTCTTAGTTATTAAGAAAACTTTTAAAAATTAAAATATTAATTTTTATTCTTTTTTTAAATATTTTATTAATTAAATATACTTTATTAAATATAGTAACTTAGTAAAATAAATAAGTTGTTAATCTTTTAAGTATTAAATTATAAGTTTAAAATTTATTAATAATAAAAATTTAAATAATTACCTATATTATAACAACTGTTTTCTATATAACTTTAGTTATATAAAAAATACAAACTAGTATTAGATAATATAAATCTAAAATAAAAATTTTGCAATTGTATAAATCTATAGAATTAAAAAAACAAAACCTTATTTAGAAAAATCCAAGTAAAAAAATAATATAGATCTTTAACAGTATAGTATTATTATAAAGATTAAATCTAAAAAAACAAATATTAATATAAAAAAATTAAATAGATAAAAACTTCTAGATAAAAAGTATTACTAACTAAGCTATCAAAATTAAATCAAAAAAAAAATATTAGATTAAACTTAGTATATTAAATACAAATCATAGTTCTTTTAAGCTGTCTGAATAAAAAGTCTAAAGATAAACAAATATATATGAAAAATACTAAAGATATATTATAAAGTTAATATTAAAGTTTAAATAAACTTATAAATATAGTTCTATTAATAATTTATAAAGTAGATAAGTTAATTAACAAAAAAATATTTAAAGACTTATAATCAAATAATATGTTCTGAAATAGATAATAGTTTGATATATATACTTAAAAGAAGACTATATATTGTATTAAACAGTACTTAGATATATAGTATTACTTGTTTGATATATTACAAAACTAAACTATTTAAATAATAATTTTTTAGTAAATTGCAAATATGATAACTAGTATAGAACCTTTAGACAAACTATATAAATAAAAAATATAAGTAGTTAGTTGTATATTTATTCTTTTTTTTTCAGTATTAAGGTGAGTTCTTTGGTTCGAGCTTTTTATTAATAATTATAGCAGATACATGTTTTATATAGATAGTATTAATTTTACCAAATCACAGACCTGGATCTATTCACATTTGATCATAGAACTATAATCCTTAGACTATTTTTATTTTTGAGGTAAACCTACCAGAGTGAGCCATATTCCCTTTTACCATTAACCTGGTTTGATGCTATAGCTGAGACCAATATTTGCAGTCAGGGTTACTCCTTAAACAGCTATTATCCTTGTAAAGTTCATCCAAACTCTAATATCCATCTTTCTGACTTCTTCTTCATAATCTTCTACTAGCTGCAATTCAGAACTAACTGACTCCCCAGACTTCCAATTCAGATGGCTTAGTATGATATACTTATA